TGCCGTAAAACTTCGACGAGCCATAACTTCTTCGTTATAACTCGGATTTCGGCGTTCTTTATATGTACGGAAACCTTGTAACATATACTAAAACTAGGTTAAGATTAATCCTTCTAAATAATCTTCCATCAAAAACTCATTTTTGATGCTCATCGTCTCTAAATTGACTAGCCCGGATCTGCGGGCGTTACACATATACTCTTCTCGGGACCGCCATGACATCAGACCGAATTCTGGAACTACTAACAACTAAACGGGCCGACATTGTGGCCTTAGACCCATTTCTACTAGAGGAAAACTCACCTCGAAAAGCTGTCTGCAAAAACTCGCGGTGAGGAATCCCTATCTGCTGCTCCAGCGACTCTCCGACTATCAATTCCATAATAACACTTAATCAGAATCTGCTAATCCTCTTTTAGGATAAAATGACCTATTTACCCCTGGTCAAAGTCAAGGTCAACTACGAGTCATCCCTAACTCATCGAGTTATTTCCCAACTCGGCAAGTCAGTGAATGCTTAAACTCGTGGTCAACTGAGTCAACTCGTCGAGTTCTTGCTGTTATAATAATTAGGACAACCCGCTTCAACTCGTCGAGTCCTTCCTTGGACTCGGTGAGTTCCCTTGTCTGATTGATCCATCTCAATGGATTAAGCTCCTACCATTCAGATCTATGTTCCAAACTTCATCTACATACTGGAAATGCACTCTTAAGGGTAAAGTTCCCAACTTTACCCGTCCTTAGTCCTTCCTAATGGGTTTAACCGAAACCCTAACTTCTTTAAAACATAAAACTTGGTCTACGAGCCATAATACCATAAACCAAAGCACATTATACTAGATCTAGGCTCTTATCATCTGTGGGACACGTAAAGTCCCGAGCTTTCCTCCCATGCATGGTTTTTTAGGGCTAAAAAGGCCATGTTCTTGCATATAAACTTGTATGGGGTCTCCATGGTCATAAAGTTTGCACCTTTATGCCATGGAACCCTTCCTAGACCCTCGATCTGAGATGTACATCACTTGGGACGTCCCAATCCCAAGGGCTAAGGTTCTTGAACCAAATTCTTCATAAAATGGAAACAAATAGATCTAAGAGAAAGAGGATCAAGTTAGGGACTTGATTACCTCAAAATGCAGTGAATAGAGTGTAGCTCCTGGATCTACTTCTTCCCCTTTGAGCCTTCTATCTTCTTCTTCTTCCATAAGCTTCAAAAGGCACAATAACACTCAAAATGGCAAAAACTAGCTCAAAATCACTCAAGGTGGATTAGGGTTTCGAGATTAGGGTTTGGAGGTGATAGAGGCTGGGGTGGAGGCCAGATATGATGTTTAAATAGGGTGCAAACCCTAAAGATTAGGGTTTCCTCATGATGTACCTACTCGTCGAGTCAAGGCTTTGACTCGTCGAGTAGACCACTTAAACCCTGCGTCAAATCTGGCATCTACTCGACCAGTTAGGGCTACCAACTCGTCGAGTAGCTCTTACAAAATGAATATTTTAATAGCTTAAATGCGTACCAGGAACGGGGCGTTACACATGTCGTGACCAGCCCTTGGTCACGTCGTCAGATTCCATTCAATCCGATTTCATCCTGACTCTACCCAACTTAGCCAACTCAGTCTTGAAAAATCATTTGAACTGATCTCACGACATGAATAGCGTAATGTCACGTTGTGAGCTCCAAAAAGCCCAACAGAAAATGGGGTCTTTCACCTTCACGTCGTGAGACCTCATGTCTCTCTTCATGACTACATCATGATGCCAAAATCCAAATATTTAAGTCCTTAATCCATTAAGCCTTTCATTCTAACTTTTCCAGAAGCTAAATAGGATTCCAAAGGTCCATAAAAATGATCACTTGATGGACATGCATGCCTCGTTCATGTTCTCCACCCATTCTAGGTCAAAATGAAAAGATTAAACCAAAAATCTTCATGAAAGGGACCAAAAATCAACCCTCTTTTAGATCTGGACAATATCCTACTCTATGTACCCTTAGAATGCATAAAGTTGCCAACTTTATGTAATCCTTTCATTCCAACTTGCTTGGACATGAAAAACATGGGACAGCCACTTAGATCTAGCAACATTAAGCAATAAAGTTTGGATCTTGGACACTTACAAAGGTCAAGAACAAGCACAAGATGATGGTGATGAAGTTTCCTTGCTAGATCCACAACTAGAACACCTTCTTCTTCTTTTAAATGCCAAAAGCTCCAAAAAGGTCAAGAATCACCAAGGGAAATAAGGTTAGGGTTTTTCTAAGTCAAAAGGGTGAAGGAGTCTGATAATGAAGCCTAAAATAGACTTAGAGGGGTTTAAGTATAAGGGAAACAATAAAAGATCATGGGCTTGGGCTGCAACAGTTTTCAGGTCGTGAGCCCATATGTCTTACGTCGTGAGAAAGGCTTCGAAATGCCACCATGTGTTTGCATCGGGGCACCCATATCAACAAGTACCCTCATTTGCATCCGTATACCCCCCCCCTTGCATCTGATCACTCCCTTCCACATCCTATTATCCATTTTCACATCTAACCGCAACTTTCGCATCCAATCCCCTTTCGCATCCAATCGCAGTTGAACAGTAAACTTCACGTCGTGACCACCTTATGGTCACATCGTGACACTCAATTTCCTCCAAAAGTCACACTCTTGACTCCTTAACACCCTAAATCGACCAATCCTTGAAAACAGGTGTTACACAACTTGTATTACACTTTTTAAATATTGTTTTTATGAAGTTTGTAAAATTTTAAAATTTGTTTTTAGGACTCGATTTCTTTTAAAAAATGGTTTTTTATGAAGTTGTATAACCATAAAATATGGTATTATAACAATTTCATCATATGCCAACATTTTCTCACCGAGTCTTCCAGACTCATATAAATTTTGTTGTTCTACCTCATTTATTACAACAATTTATTCTCCTGAATAGTGTTCAACATTATCTGATACAATGTTGTGATCATTATCTGCTCTAATGTTGTCAACATTGTATGATACGATGTTGTCAACTGATGGTGTCTCTTCAAACGTACCTCAAACACCTCCAAAATGCAAATGCACTACCTCTTTCATTTTAGACATTCCATTTCTGAGTTGACAAACATCTTCTTTGTCTGTAATGTTCATGACATACCCATGATCCGGGTGTTGAAATGACGACGATATATTACTATTGAACGTATTTGCCTTATTTTTAACCGAATCAAACAATATCTGATGGTCAAAATTAGGTGGAAGTAGTAAACCTAAGTTGTTAAACTTTGTCCTCACTTATGTGTTAATTCCATTAATCATCTCATTATCTCTTTTGATAGTTAATATTTCTGTTTATTGTTAATTATTATTGTATATATTTTGTATGTATAATCTCAATATTCGATGAAAAGGATGAACTAAATTTAGCCCATATCGTATTCTTTTACGTTGCCAAATTTATATGTTTCACGCCATCATGATCTGCATGACCTTGACGAAGTCGTATATTTTATTGTAAAGTCGTATATTTTATATGTATAATCTCAATATTCGATGAAAAAGATGAACTAAATTTAGCCCATAGTGTATTCTTTTACGTTGCCAAATTTATATGTTTCACGCCACCTTGATCTGCATGACCCTGACAAAGATCTTTCTAGATCCATATGTATATAAAAAGGTGATGATCCGTACACAAAATTTTTTAGCCATACATAACAATTTATGTTTTATAATCGTATAATAAACTATCATTTGTAAAATAAATGTATAAAGTTATAGATCAACATAATTAACCTCCAACAAATACATATATAATCACAACCGTCACATTTTAAACAAAATGAGATACAAAAACAAATACAGATGCCCATATCAAATATCTAACTCAATAACGCTACTTCGTGTTAGATATATATGATATCTAAAGAAAGAAAAAACAATGTCAAATAATCTAACACCGAAGGTTATCACCTGGTGCAACACCAAGTTGATCACAATACTGAGTATAATACCGGACACGAGAACTTACAGTGTCCGGATTCCCACCATCACATTCCATTCCATTAATGGCTCGAATAGTGGCTCCAAACCCTTGGCCAGAAACTAAGATAGATTGAACGTTGTTCATCCAAAACCACAATGCAGTTCGAAAGGCAATGACAGGATCTGTGGCCACAGTTTCAGGATTGTTTAGTCCATCGAAACCAATGCTCCTCCCTGCTGGACCGTAGTTATAGTTCCATGAGAGTTGAATCGGACCTCTCCCATAGTAACCCTTGCTAGGGTTACATGGGTATTGAGTATTACTTTCGTCGCAATAATCCCTTGAAGGACCATTTATTTCTTCGATGTAGCAAAAATCTGGTCATTGATGCAAATTAAAAGTTAAATAGACTGATCATTTTTTGAACTTAAAGTTTTCAAAGAGGGAATAGTTTACAATTACTTTTATTTATACAAGAATGTTTTTTTTACTAATTATTGTAAAAAATGGTTTTTGACATGAATTACGTATAGCATTTAATATTTAGTATATTAATATTTTATACAAAATAGATTGAGTGGAATCTGATGACGTGACCATATAACTGGTGCACCAAAAAACCAATTCTCTATTACGAACTCGTATATTTTATGCAAAAAGGAGAGATGAAATCGTGCTTGTCTATACAGTTTAAAACTCTAATTTGTTGTATAAATTTTGAAAACTGAAATGTCATTGTCTTACAAGAAATCAACGTAATTAATTTATACCTTATATAATTACGTGTATTACCTAATACAATTGTTTTATTAAATTATCTTAAAAAATTGATTACAACTATGAAAGATTGGCCTTACGTCCGGTTTCATGGGTGACATGAGCGAAGAAAGCTGCTATCTCCCGTCTGGAATCTTCTTCTGAACCTACTCTACCAAATTGCGGATAATTTCCAACAGCTTCAAGAAAAGCGGCGCGTGTATAAAACGCTCTTCCTTCACAACTTGCGTCTGATTGATCCACGATTCCATCAAAGAACGCATCTGTCACGATATTAGCAACCGACACATCATTCGTCGGAGGAGGCCCAAAGCACGGCCCTTCTTGGCAGCCGGTGCCACAGTATGCCTCGTCACTGCCGCAGAAACCAAATCGGCTACAGCATAATCCCGGAGCACAGCCACAGTTCTGGGCGGTGGTGGTGGTGCTAAGGATACCGGAGTAAAGAACTACGGCGAGGAGGAGGATGAGCGAGAGAGTTTTCATTGTAGTTTGTATGGTGTACGTAGTTAGTGGGATTGTAGCTAGACGAGTATTTAAAGTGCGTGTGAGAAAGGCATGCCGACATTTCGAAGTGGGTATGGACAATATCGGTTTCGTTTACTTTGACGTGGTGTTTAAGTTGACTTTGTCGATTTTGTTTGACTTTGAAATGTCAATATCTGAAAAAGTGAAAGGTCATCCTACCATATCTCCTTGTTCTGGAATTAAGAAAATTGAGTCAAAGTTTTAAAGGAAACCCACTTCAATTAGAAACACGATAACACGTTCCTGTTTCAGCATCATTTTCACCGAAATTTTGGTCCAAATCCGATAGTACCAAGGGAAATAGCAATTCTACATTTTTGAACTTTTTTTTTTGCATCTCATTTAATGTTTTTATATAACATAAAAATTCATTATATAAACATGATGATGAACCAAAGGGCTTATAGTATCCGGTGTTGCCCTCCCTCCTTAATGTTGAGGGTTCAAGTCCCGTTGTGGACATATGTGGATTTAAGATGTAGTTTATAGGAGTAGATTTGCCGTTTAAAAAAAAATATATATATATAAACATAATGAAGGAAGTTATATATTTCAATTCATATAACTAATCCACGGCAATACTTCATCATATCCACACTTGGTGGCCATTTTCATCCTTTACTTTTTTTTCTTGTATAACTTGTTCACGCTTATATCCATTTAAGAAATCTAGTGTGATAAGGCTAATGGATTCTTAATATCTCTTGCATGCTTTGATCACCAAATTTATGTATCTTAAGCTTGAGTAGTTGCCATAAAAATATAAAATCGGAACAATTGATATGCCTATCTTTTAGTAAAATCCAGTGAAGTCCAAAAATTTCATACTCATTTTTTGATGCTCTTGTTCATATTCATATAAGAAATCCAACATTCACAAACTTTTAATTACTACTCGCAAATCACATGAACCTTGACCTTTTGAATAATTAAAATAAACAGAGTTTATTATTATACCTTTGATAGGGAGTGTGATTCTTCTCGGTCCTTGCTAAGGTTGTATTTTTATATTTTGGTTTCATTCTCTCATATTTAATGCCACTTATTCTTGGAGCACATAATGTGGAAATTTACATAAAAATCCTATCTTAACCATATCAAAAGGAATCGGTCAAACCATATCAATGCAAACGTTGTGTGGCCCTACACGACACATCATTAGTAGTTATTGAAAACATCCATGTGTTTTGAATATACATCTGCTACTCATTTAGGCAATGTACTATGCCAATGTTAACTATATGAAGCCACTGTACTTTTGTTTCTTACACAAATTGATGCTAAACTTAACTTCCATTCATGTACCTTTATACATAGTGGATCACCCCTTAAGGTCTTAAACACCATTTAGTGATCATGTTGATGCATAAGGTACAACACCTCAACGGACATTTGCCTCTGTAGCAACTCATATATATCAACATGGTCACATACTTATGCATTATAATTAGTACAACATTTGTGTAACCCAATTTTGAGTATGTTACATGCGTATATTTGTCTTGTATGTTTAAATATGTACAAATTAATAGCAACAAAAATGTATGCATATAGAGACTTGCATATGTCAAATGTAGCTTTTTTATTAGTTTCCTCTGTTTGTTGTTGTGAAGTGGTATGTTTTATATGTGTACTCTCAAAATACAATGAAATGGATGAACTACATATATCTCATAGTGTAGTTTTGCATAGCCTAATTTATATGCCATCCTGATCCAAATGACCCCAAACAAAAAGTCACTAGATCATGCCACCGAACATAACCATGTAATATGTATATACAAAAAGTCACTAGATCATGACCACTTTTAATTGGTCAGCATTTAACGTGTTTGATACAGCCTCTGAACGACCTCTGGATTGTTAAGAAGTTCTATTTCACATAACCATTAAGAGGTTGGGATCATTCAACAATTTTATCAATCAACCCTTTAGACTTTAGAAAGAAGTAACAAATTATTTGTAAGATAGATATATAAAGATCTATATCAACATATCAAGTAGCACATATATATAGATACAAATGCCACATTCTGAACAAATTTGTGGTATCAAATATCCAAGTCAATACATGTAATTCATATAATATATAAAGAAATGAAAACACAAAGTCAAATAATCTAACACCGCAGAGTATCACCTGGTGCAACACCAAGTTGATCACAATACTGAGTATAATACCGGACACGAGAACTTACAGTGTCCGGATTCCCACCATCACATTCCATTCCATTTATAGCTCTAATTGTGGCTCCAAACCCTTGGCCTAAGACAGACTGAACATTGTTCATCCAAAACCACAATGCAGTTCGAAAGGCAATGACTGGATCTGTGGCCACAATTTCAGGGTTGTTTAGTCCATCGAACCCAATGCTCCTCCCAGCTGGACCATAGTTGTAGTTCCATGAGAGTTGAATCGGACCTCTACCATAGTAACCCTTGCTAGGGTTACATGGGTATTGAGTATTAGTTTCGTCACAATAATCCCTTGAAGGACCATTTATTTCTTCAATGTAGCAAAAATCTGGTCATGGATGCAAATTAAAAGTTAACGGATTGATCATTTAGGAAAATACGTTTTCTATCCATGGAAATAATAAAAGGAATTAAGGTATAATTATTAAAATCGAGAGAACAAATGCTTGGGATTATTCGACTAATAATCTAGAGCAACGCTCTTGCATAAACGACTTTCAAATTTTTTGTTTTAATTGTTGGGTCACTTATAGCATATACGTAGGTAAATAAAGTTGAAGTAATCATCTTTATAAAATTACTAATATTTACTCTTTATTTTTCAAATACAATTTTACTGCATAAACATTACTTTACATTTTAATTAAAATCTAACTATTTCACTTTAAATTTTATTTAATTTATTATCTAATATAAAATAGAATTGTTTTTGAGTAAATAAGTCAAAACTACCATCTAGAGTCTAGTTAGTTGCTAATATTATTTTTTACAACTTGAGACTTTTCTAAAACACAAACAATTTATTTTACACAAAATATTAATATAACAAGGATTAAATTAGTTTCATAAAATGTTAATATAATAAAATAGTAATATAATATTTGATTAGGAGGATGAAAGATTGGGCTTACGTCCAGTTTCATGGGTGACATGAGCGAAGAAAGCTGCTATCTCCCGTTTGGAATCTTCTTCAGAACCCACTCTACCAAATTGCGGATAATTTCCAACAGCTTCAAGGAAAGCGGCGCGTGAATAAAACGGCCTTCCTTCACAACTAGCATCTGATTGGTCCACGATTCCATCGAAGAACGCATCTGTCACAATATTATCAATCGACACGTCATTCGTCGGAGGAGGCCCAAAGCACGAACCTTCTTGGCATCCGGCGCCACAGTATGCCTCGTCACTGCCGCAAAAACCAAACCGGCTACAGCATAATCCCGGAGCACAGCCACAGTTCTGGGCGGTGGTGGTAAGGATACAGGCGGAAAGAACTCCGGCGAGGAGGAGGATGAGGGAGACTGTTTTCATTGTGGTTTCACTGGTTTGTATGATGTAGGTAGTGGCTTGTGGACGTCTATTTAAAGTGTGGGTGTGAGAAAAATGTATGCAAGCATTTCGAAATGGGTATGGAGGAAATTCGTTTCGATTCCTTTGACTTTGTATTTAAGTTGACTTTGTTGATTTTTGACTTTGGAATGTCAAAATGTTGAAAAGTGCAAATATGCAATGCCATCCGATTTAAGATATTTCTGTTATGACTTTAGCTTTAACCTTTTGTCGTAGGAATTTTTTTTTTTTATTTTAAACTATTTTGTAAAAAATAGCTAAGAACATTAAATTTCTGACACGACCCTTCAAAATACAGCTTAACGGGCCGTGCGTTGTCATCCATATTCAACTCAAAATATATGATGGTTGTTTATTTTTTGATTTTCATCTTTGTAGGAATTGAGAAACACATTCTGTTCATAATTGTCGAAAAGGACAATATTTATACTCCAGTACGTTTTCGTTATGTTCATAGTTTAAATTGCTAGGGTTGGCGTGGACATGTTTATCCTCATCGGTCATATCTATCCGATCTGACATTAATCACTAAGACCTTGTGGTATACATACCACGAAGCAAATCGTGGTCTAGCTGGCCACGAGAAAGTCTCGTGCACACCACCCCGACGTTCCGTGGTCGGGCGTGGTCGTGGTCATCCGTGCTCCCGACGACGAAATCAAACGGAGAAGATGATTGGTTGTTGGTTTATTTGGCCGTTGAACGGCTATTTTGACCGTTTTTTTTTTCAAACTCAATTCACTACATAAATAAACCTTCTATTTTCACCAAAACTTACACCTCATTCT